GGATGGATGGATGGATGGATGGATGGATGGATGAAAAGACGGATGGATGCATGGGGTAGTTTAATATTCTTGCATTAACCTTTTAAGTGTTGCTTTATTGATAAAGATTTCTATCAATGGATTAATAAAACTGATTCTGTTTGTCTAATAAACACTTTATTAATATTATTATTATTTTTTCTTTATTAATAAAATAATTAAACAGGCATCTTCCACATTTGTACGCCAATACAAACAAAGTACCGTACGCCATGGTATGTGAGATTGCAATGATGACAAATTAATTCTGGAATTAAATGACTGAAGCATATGTGAATATTTACACTTTATAAAATTAGACGTGAAAGAGGCTTTACACTGAGGAGCATATTATTAGTTTCCAAACTGAAGTGCAGGTACTGACCTGGTAATGCTGGTTTTGTATCAGACTGTCAGCATGACGCTCCTGTGAAGAAATGAGAGGAATATGTTAAAAGCAGAAATAACACACTGCATCTACATTTATCATCACATCTGCTCCGTCTCTCATAGTTTTCTTTTTTCTCATTTATTACTCCCCACCTCTCTTTCACTGTTCTCTCCATCTCCTCTGTTCCCATTATTCATCTCAGGAAGGCTGATATTTCACACAGAGGTCACTACAAAATGAAATGCATTCACACGCCTCTCCTAGTGCACCAAACTAACACAAAGTGAAGGGGTGACGGATTGCTGTTGGTTAAAAGGGAACACACTTCTGCAGCCAAGAGCGACCACATTATAAGGGTGCTGAGTAATGGACTTTTAGTTAATCATTTCTCACCATTAAACATTGATAAAATCATTTTGTAGAACAAATGGACACCATCTGCTATAGATTGACTGCAGCAAAAGGTCTCATCTGGGATCTGAATATATTTGTTCTATTACATCTTTCCTACCAATTGAAATGATGGATCTAAATCAATGAGGAGTAGAGGAAAGACAGTAGGGCACAACATTGGGTCTATACATTATAAACACATTATAGAAATAGATGAAAAACATAAAAAGGAAAATCAGAATATTAGAAACATCAAAATCTAATATCATCAATAATACATTCAAACAATGTTAATGTATGTTTGGTGTCCAGTTAAACAGCTAAATCCATCCCAGGTTATAACATCTAGCCAGACTGCTATACCCCGACCAACCGGGATGTGTTTTCAAATTCAACTCACACACCACCATGACCCAAGTCATACATGGACAAGAAACTCCAGCAAGACGAGTGTCACGCTCCAAAGTGGAACCAATATACCTCAAGAAGGGACTGATTAAGACAAAGATATAACCCCTTTCTCTAAAATGGACACTTTTAGGGTTAACTATAACCTGCAACTTCCTTGTTATCTGTTATTTATGCCTGGGTCTCTTCATTTACTTCACCCTCCAGCAGGGCTGGGTATTTTCGCCAAAATCCTGAATCGATTCGATTTTGATTCATTCAGTTCTAAATCGATTAATTTCAATTCAATCTGTTTTTACAATAACGAAAGTGGTTCAACTGTGTTTAAAAATACCCATGTATTTTGTTTTTTCCTGTCACATTAAACACAAAGTGCAAACTTGTAATCAGACAGTTTAAACATGAGATGTGAACAAAACTGTCTCAAAAGTGCAAACTTGTTTGTGAAAAGTGAAAAAGTGAAGCCTCACTCAAGCAAGCAGACGTGACACAGCAGACATGCATGAGCTGCATTATCTCCTCTGCACCATATTTGCAGCGTTGTCTGCATCAACTACAGGGTTTTTTCTGGTCAGCCCCCATTTGTTAATGTCTTCAGTCAACCTATTGGTTATATTTGCAGCTGTCTGGCTTGAAGTCATCTTGAATGCATCTTTCCTGCTCATTTGAATATGAACGTCATGTGCTTCAATATAAAATGAATCAATCTCATTCCCTAGACATCGATTTTGCAAAAATGTAAAGGAATCGATTAAATCGATTTTTTTACCCAGCCCTACCCTCCAGTACCAAAATATGATTGTGAGGCAGAGCAAAGGAAGTATCCCCTCATTGTCCCAATGTGAGGAAACCTTTTACTCTTGGGTTTAGTCTATCCTATAGAAAATTGATTACCAAAGTTCAGGGTCTTGAGATGCACTAAAAATTAAACAAAAACAAAAATCATGTTAAAGTGCTTAAGGATATACAAGCATCATTTAGAAATGGACAACATGGTGCTTTGATTGTCTATGTGATATAATATGTTCAATTACATCTGTGGTTAATTACCGGATGTCAAAATATATGTAAATAAAACCAATAGTTTGGTTAGTTAATTTACTCTGGAACTGTTTTGTGAGTCAGAAGCTGAAAGGTTTGGAAATTTTTGCGTTAGAGAGTGCGCTGGGGTAAGGGACCCAGAAGAAATTGCCCCTTCTCCTAAAATTAAGCCGCATTCCCCCAGTTAATGGATAGTCTAAATACACTGGGGTCAGTTAAATTTCAATTGCCTTTAGGAATAACTGTGTGCATCAGCCTGATTGTCTGCTCTTTGTGTTTCTTTTGACCTGTAACCGGTTGGTGACCTGTCCAAGGTGTTCCCTTTCTCAAGACTGGTAACAATAGGCCTCCTGCCTACATGTGACCCAGCAGGAATAAGCGAGTATAGATAACAAATGGAT